AGGAACCTGCATTTCTGCCAGTTTGTAAATGCCCATGTTGCGGACCTGTACTGTCCTACTCTCCATCAAGTATTAAAATGTCATGAGATCATTTTTTTTCTTCAGACTTTTTGACCCATTTTTAATGCTGAAATTCTTTATGGCTAGACTGTTGATTGGGCCATGCAGCAGGGAAGCAGCAGGTGTCTGCTGCCAGCAGTGACACAGAGGAGTGCAGGGCTCATCTGCCAGAGAAATGGGAAGGGAGTGCTGCTCTAAACATGGGGCCATGTTTGTGCCACAGCAGTGGATATGCACAGTGAGAGAAGATTTTTTTCCCTGCAAGAGTGGGGCCTTGGCCATAGCTTGCAGTCAGCAGGGAACGTGCAGCTCCTGGCTCAGGGAGGGAGCAGGAGTGGAGGATGACTCACAGCCCAACCCTGTCCTCCCTCCCTGGCAGCCACAGGTGCTGGCCAGCAGATTTCAGGGAGGAAGAGAAGGACAAAGCACGCGTCATCCACTCCATGTCCTCTGCTGATTTGCTCATCTAGACAGGGCTGAAAATAATAGCGTGCAAGAGGAAGGGCAATAGCTGCAGGCTGTGTGGGAGGTCTGAGCTTGCCAGAGTTTGAAAGGGATCACCACTGACCCTGATGTGGGTTGCCCTGGCATGGCAGCAAATCAGTCTGAGAACTGGGAGAAGGTAAGCATTACCTTCACTCCTTTTGACACAGAAGTTAGCATCAATTTGGTGTGGTTTGATATACGCTATGATCTTTGAGTGAATTAACTGGAGTGCTCGGTCCTGGTCTGGGTATGGCTCTTGCAGATCTGGATAAAGTGAGAAGCATTCAAGGAGCACAAGAATTAGGAGAAATATACATCAAGGGATTCAAAAGGAAAAACTTCGGAACTTGGCTTATTTAGTCCAAGAAAAGAATATTAGGAACAGAGATGGAAACAATCCTCTAACACATAAAAGCTTCTTGATCATTTTACATTATTTGTGTAGAGAAAGATATAAAGAAATCAGTTTTCCTTCTGCAACAAAGCATGCTTTGACAGCCTACTAGGGAACATATCCAAAATGTACAAAGCATGGAGTATAGGGAGAGGTTGGAGAATCCCTTTCCAGAAAGATTTTTCAGGAGTCCTTGGACAATCCTCCCTGTGATGTTTCCCAGTGGCGTGGTAGGGGTCTGGTAGGGCTCCCTGGCAAGGGTGGAGGGGTCTCAGTGCAGAGGGGGAACCCAGCAATCCCGACAGGTCTCTTCCTGGTTTACATTCCATAATGTCATGCCAAACGTGGCATTAAGTATTCTTGGCAAGAGTTGTGACTTGGCTTGAACAAGCACTTGATAAGATCCATAAAGCTAAACACAGCTTACTGCTCTATAAGAAAGTGTTGAACACCAAATATACTCCACTTTCTATGATCTAAACCATGTCAATTCTCTACATGCAATTCATAACACATCTGGAGCCAACTATTTCCATCTACTTACAGACAGTGTTAAGTGAGATACTGTTTTAATTTTGCTGAGCCAGACAGAGATAATACCCCCAGGAAACAGTTTAAGTCTGTAAAAAATAAAGAGGACAGCATAGGTTGCTAAGTGATAATGATTTGCAAAACATAAATACTTACACAAAGGAAGTGATTAATTCAGGACATTCTTTACATATCACCTCTATAATCTTTTCAGCTGCAGACCATTATGTACCTTTATCTCACAGCATACTCACTTTGTCTTACAACCAATCCTTTTAATCTGCCCATTTTGTTCAAATTTATGTCTCTAATTTACCCAGCCTTCTGCCTGCTGCAGCCATTCTCACTCTGTGGAATGACACCTATGGACCCCTTGCACTCCGGATTGGACACATTTGCATTTCAACATCAAAGAGAGGTTCAAAGAATGGTTCCATGTACCAATGTCTGTTCAACATGGGTGGCTGAGCCACATCTCCTTTTGTCATCACCATGGAGGAATTAGTAATGTGGAGTCCAGCTCCTATGAAAATGGCATCCATCTGTTCTTTATTAATTCCTGCTGGGTATGGCAAGATTTTGCCCTTTGTATTAGATGAAGACACTGGAGATGAGAGGCTGTAAATCTTAGATGGAAAAACTAATGTTTGCAGGACAATGGAGAGTGTTGTCAGTACTTTAAACCTGTCAGCTGTTTATACTGTCTTACATGCAGTGACCAAGGAACAGCATTCAGATCTTCCATCTCTCCCAGACTCCGAATGCCAAATCATTACTCATGGAAAGGAGAAGCACAGGAGCTCCACAGCTCCTTGGCTGCCATTAGCACTCCACCTCTGACAAAGGCCTAAAGGTTTGCTAATTCTTGGAAAACTGCAATCTTGTGGAAAACTGCATTTTGTTTTATGACAGCGTTGTCATTTGAGTGTCTGCATGACTTATTGTTTTCCTGGAAAAGTGCTGCCTCCTGAAGCAGATGCCTCCTGGAAGGGATGAGCACGACCAGCCCATGGCATCTCCAGCTCCCAGACCAGCTGTTGGGGTTGACTGGCTCTTCATTGCTCACTGCTGCCTTTAAAATGATGTGAATCCACTGACAGCAACTTTCACCAAGGCTGCTTCCAATACTGACTCCCATTGCATCCCTAAGGAAGCATTGAGGTGACCCTCCACAAAATCAGGAAAGGGCAGTAAAACCTGCTAGTCGGTACCTCTTTGCGCTCTTCTGGTTTTGGAGTTCTTTTTTGGTGTTACAGTGGCCTTTCCCCGCTAGTTTCACATCCATGTCCTGCTCTGGAGCTGTTTCCCTCTTCTTTTCCCTCATCTGTCACAGCCTCAGTGTTGACAGTGATTCCTTCTGACAAGCTCCCTGGCTATTTCAACACCCCGTGCCTGGACTTTATTTCCCATTTCTTTCATGACTTCTCCTTTCTAAAAGTTATGATTGTCCACTCTTGGTGATTTCTTCATTACTTTGTGCAGTGGTGATGTCTCAGCAGCCCTGGCTTATTCATACCCTTCCAGAAATTATTTGGTTACGTATTATTTGCGTAGCTTTACCATGTTTCCGTGATGCCCACCACCTCTATTTTTTCACAATGACCTAAAATGCTCCCAAAACATCCCTTTGGAAACCACCTTCTCAGAGCTAGCCTTTACTTACTGTGATCAAGTGTCACCCTGCCTTTTCCTTTATCGTCCGCTTGGTCTCTTTAGGTAAACTAATTTGTGGCTGCATGAGCATTGGGTGTATGCTTATATTAAGCATTAGGCAATGTTGTATATTGTAATTGTTTTTAATTTGCATGTTTGTAGGGATGAAGGATCTCTGATTTGTACTAACTGTATCTGTGCCACCTTCAAGAGATGTGTATCTAATCTTTCCTAGAAGACCTCTGCAACTGCTCTAAATAGCTTGTTCAGTTGCCTAACTTACATGTAGGAAGACTTTTAAAAAAAAAATCTAAGCTATGGATCAAACTCTCTTGGTACTTGTATTTTCATCTATGATGAACTTTGTACAACCTTGGAAATGCTTGACAAGTAGTTTTTAATCTATTTCATAAATGCAGTTGAGCAGTGAGTGGGCAACTGGAAAATGAGGGAGACTGTAAGGGACCTCCAAACAGGTAAGGATTAACAAAAATTAATAAGTTAGCGTACTAGGGCAGGAACTGTATAAAGACATAAATGGAAAAAAAAAGGCTTCTAGGAGAAAACTCACTGTCTATGAACAAATGGCAGAAAGAAACAGAGTGGGCCAGGAACATTGCCCATCTTCCTGGGCAGTGAAGGGAGATGCTCACACGAATCCAAGGATGACCCATTGCAGCCTCCCTCTGTCCAGGCTATGCTCGGGTGTTATTTCACTTGCTATCTGTTATGCTGCCTATTAGATTATTGCCAAGGGTGAAAATGTACTGTCATAAAATTCTCCCTAATAAATTCGCCTTCATTAGTCAGCTGGCATTTTAATTGTGAAGACTATACTTTCTCCACCCAGCTACTGTGGTTTTCCCAGGTATACAAGCTGAGGATTTTAGCCAAGGATGGAGTTTATGTGAACTCTTGGTGGTTCCATATCCAAACTGAGAAAAGTAATGACAAAAGTACAGGCATGTATTAAAAATTTAATAATTTTCCAACAAAACAGATAAAAAAGAGGAAGACGTGTCACAGATTTGCTAAAGTTTTCTCCTAGGGAGATTGTAGGATATACCACAAAAAAAAAAGTGAAAATAATATTTCAAGTAAAAAAAGAGTAAAGACTCCCCGAGAAAACCAAGAGTGGAAGGAGAGTATTTGCCAAACAGGCCTGGAAACCACCAAAAATATACCCCACAGCTGGAGAATATAAAGAATATGAAGTGAGAGCTGGAGGAAATGAGGGCTCGGAAAAGCTATGCCAGTAAGCGCTGGTATGTCCACCATACATCCCATCTGTGGGGTCTCTGCTTCTCAGGGAGGATGTAAGGAGTTGAAAAGGCAACAGGCAGGAGCCAAGAGTTGGAAGAGCTGCTCTGGGAGGCTAAAAAGGGAATATAATGTTCTCTATTACAGGGACTGTGCTGACCACAAGGGTCCTCCTTCTACTGCCCTGTGCCTACTAGGTCCAAACATAAAACCCCCATTGTATAAAAAGGCCCTCTGTCAATAACTTTGTTTGAAAGCTCACAGAGTAGCTGATCACCAATGATCTCAGCAGGCACCAAGTGTACAAATAAATACTGAGTCAGTCATAAAATAGGGAGCAGCTCCATCTTCGAACCTATCATGAGATTAAATTGGACAAGTCAAACATCACCGTCAACAGAGTGAATTAGGAAAAGGCTGTGTTTGGCACTCCAGCACCTCCAGCACATAGCACTCTCCTGGAGGAATGTGAGTCAGATGGGCAGCTGGGCTGTGTCTGGGGAACTGCTATGTGCTGCTGGGAATGACCAACACAGGCCCTTGTGACATCAGCTATGATTAAGCAGGGTCCAGACAGCCAGAGATTGGAATTTGGATCCCATCTACTGAGTGAAAAAAATCAGTAGTCACCATAAAGAGTTTGCTTGTAGAGGCTGGAGAGGGAGGTTGGTACAACATCTGGGTAGCAATTAATCCCCATGTGCAGCTCTGAAATTAAAGATGATCCTCTGAGCAGCTGAGAAACACCAGTAATAAAGGGTCAGAAGAAACAGAGTAGAAACAGAGATGGATGGTAAATGGTGAATGGACAATTCAAAAGAAGGTTGAAAAAAAAAGGAAAAAGAACTATAACATAGTGCAGCATATAACCATATGTCTACATGAGCTTGGAAGTCATGCAAAGGATCACATATTTAAAAAGGGCTGGAAAATAAAAGTTTCTCCCTCAGAGAAACTTCTCAAGGAAATGTACCCAGAAAGGAGGAGTTATGAGAAGCAAACAGAATAATGCTGTTCCAGTGCCACCATTGAAAATAAGCTCACTGAGCATTACTGAAAATAAAGAACAGCTATGGACTTAAAACAAACCAGTCTTCCCATGGTAGCTGAGTTTTATTCATTTCTGGTCTTTGTGCTTTCCTACTATAAACAAGGTGATCATATATTGTTCTAGAAGTCTCTCAACACTGCCTTAATTAGGCAGCTTCCAAATTATCTCTGTTGTTCTATGCCATATTATCCATAAATCATGACAATGGTCATATTCAAGCTGTTCTTGTAGGCTCTAACACCCAGTAGTGATCACCTCTGCCTTTTAATATAAGTTTCAGAACCTTTGATATGACCACCAGAGGAAGGTCCTACAACTATACAAGACTTGGCAAAAGAGCTCCATGCTGCTGATAGATTTGTCTCATGGCAAGTTCTCAAGCTTTCCTCACATTGAAGAAATGCCATCAGCTGGCGGTAACCTGTGTAACGGGAAAGCAGAAAAGCTGCAGCAGGTATCATGGAACAGAGAGCCTGGACAAGCACAGCGGTGGGGCAGATGGACCTCACTTAGCTTTTACAGGTAAATTATCTATTATAGGTGAATAGTCCAAGCTTTTTAGCCTGGGAAATGGGTGAATGAGGATAAGCTGTTAACATCCATTTCTAACTACTCAATAAGCTGTGGCTGGGCTTCCTATGAGCTGGGCAGACTGGCCTATTTTGGCAGTACAAGTAAAACTCCTTTGCTACAGAAACAGGGCAGTAAGCCATGCTGGAGGCCAACACAAATGGATCTGGCCTATGAAATGGAACAAACCCCCAGGATTGTGGGCAAGGCTGTCCATGTTGCTTATTTACTGAAACTGCATCAGCACGGCCAGGAGTGAGGTTTTGGAGCAAAGTCCTTTTGGTGACATTCAGGAAACTCATCGGCAGATTACAGGGAAGGTGGCAGCTGGAAATTACACTTCCTTTTGCTCTTCACAGGCATGGGGACAGGACTGCCAATAGGGTGGACATGGCAGTAACTACCTGAGGCTACAATCAGCAGCCACTGTTTGGACAGTTGTCACAACAAGTTTTGTGGCAGTAAGTGCATTGAGTTGGTCAGGCAGCACTTTACTGAAGTAGCACTCTCCAGAGGAGTCTGGACTGTAATTTTTGTAAATGGAGACTTTAAACCAAAAGCTATATGCAGATGCAGTAAGCACTGTTCACACAATGTAACAAGCACATACCTCACTTACACCAATGATTAAATATGATTGCATTAATCCCTATCTAATGGTTTCCTTATAACAAACTATTAAGATACTACTATCAGATTAAAACATAAAATCAGATTACTACTTAATTAAATCTGATTTTATTTGTAATAGTATAAATAATACCTGCATCTTGATAAGAAAATTTATATGTTCTATTTTTCTCTGCAGTCATATCCTTATTTTTAATGCCTTTTGTTTTGTAAACAACAGACTAGTGTGAGATGTTGTCTCTTTCAGCAATTGAAGTTATTTCAGACTTCTGTAATTACCCTTTAGTATGCACCAGATTTTGATAGAAGGGAGATGTAGTTTGTAATTGTCTTTTCTTCCTAAAAAACGGAAAACCAAAAGCAAGCACAAGGAACGTTTCTGGTTTACAGAATTACACAATGTTACTTTGTGCTACTCCATAAGCTTCTGTATGACATGGACCAGGCACAGGCACTGCTCATTCCACTAAATTGCCTGGTTTCACAGTTTGCTGTCCCCACTAGCCCATATGTTTGAAATGGCACAGTTACATCTTTTCATTACTGCATGGCTTTGAAATGACATTGCTGAGTAATATCAGAAAATCTGTTTTTGTGGTTGCAAGGTGCTCTGGAATGTGAAAAGCTATGCATTTCTGTGACTGCTACCTTTGTGTTATAATGGCAATTCCAATAATATCTTTTTAGCAGAAATACTTTCTATATTACTACTAAGAACTTAGTAGGCAGATTGCAGCCCATTAAGTTTTTAAATAGGGCTAAAAAAAGATACAAGTTCTACAGCAACACAGCTTGGAATAAAGCTGACTGGTAAAGGACAACCTCATTTCCTCAGTAAGATCAGAGTGACAGTGAGGATTTTCTAGCCCCATCACTTTCTCCTTGGGCTGCCAAAAATGCCCCCATGGTATTCCTTAGTAGGATTACCTGTTTAAGCAGACCAAGAACAAGAAACTGTGGGCTTCGTGTGGAAAGTATCTACCATTAAGGTAGTGGAAAAATTAGTGCAAGACCTGAAGTTAAAGTTTAAACACATCACAAATGCAAAGGAAGGTTTTCACAATGTTTAAGTTGCAGAGGCTTTTAAATGTTTTCTGTTAGAAAACATCTCCATTGTGATGACACAGAGCTGTTGGAACCTTACGGAGACCTTGGGCTGTATGTTAAAAAATGTAACGGTAGTCATCATTGAGGCTTAAGCTAGGTAGATGAAACATCCAATTTAGGACAAATTTACAGCTCTATTTTATATAAAATCTTCTAAAAAGTAAGTTCATCTTCTGCAGAAAGCTTTCCTACATCCATATGAAAGTATGGACTCTTAACCTTTCCATGTTAGATTGTATTTTACTCATAGATAAAGGGAAACAAGTTTATGGATGATTCTGCATCTTACACATCTCTGCTTGCAAGAGCAGGTCTGAAATCTAGCTGGAAGAAGTCTACAAAGCCAAACGTTAAAATCTTCATTTCACACTCAGGTTCAAGAAGAAATCTCATGCATGTTAAGTGTCATTTTATTCCACGTGTCCCTCCATTTCAGTGTTTGGTGAAGAGCAATCCATCCTTGCTGAAGGAACAAAAATTGTCAGAGAGAAGGGAAAATACTGAGGGACGTGTAACCCCATGGAGCACTTCTTCGAATAAATGTTAAGAAAATAAGTCAGGCTGTTCCCTAGCAAACTAGAAAATTTCTGGGTTTTTTCTGACCTTCCATTTACAACTGTGTAGCCTTTCTAGAGAAGAAAATTCTACCTGAAAAATGAACTGTAAGAGATACCAGTCCATGAGTAACTCCCTGTAAGCAATGCGCTCTAAGCTGCATCACCGCCAAACTTTGAATAACAGGCTGAAGGAAAGAATTTATTTCTGTGTCTGAAATCACAGAAAAGAACAGAAAGAAATCCTTGGCTGCTGGCTTGATACATACAGAGCCTTACCAAATCAAATGTGAGTTTTCCCTGTGGTCAGTTTTTGTCTTTCCACTCTGATTGATTTGCAATAGCACCCACACACCCACACACCCATGCTCTGAAGCTCGAGGGAACAGGAGCAGATAAGCAGGCAGCTAGAGCAAACATATTCATTTACACTTGTTTAACTAGATCTAAATTAATTTGTGGAATGTTCCCTTTGGGCCTGGTAGGCTGTTGAAAGCAAGACCTTTTTTTTTTCCTACTTACAGTAATTGCTAGGTTCACATCTGCTGGGCTCCTCTTCTCATGGAGAACTCCTGTCCTCCATATCTCCATCTCTGCAAGGGCCCCAGTTACATATTCGCAAACATCTTTTTGTAACTCCATACTATGGCAATGCAATCCTGACATGTAACTATATGGGCACTGGCAGCAGATCTCACCTTTTGACTGAGACTGACAATGACATAGTTTTGTCTCAAACTTATTTTTTCTCTTTTTATAACAAGCACCACAAGCACTTATCCTGCTTCCGTAATGAAGCACAGTTCACTCTTTGACCAAAAGATAGTATGTATAGGATAACACAATTTCTTAATACCATCCAATTAGATAACAGGGCAATCAGAAAATGCTTACATTTTAACTTTCAAACTATTATCATGACTAGAAGAATGACTACAGAATAGGGAAAGTAAATTCACATGGCTGCTTTGCAGGCTGCAAACTACTCCCATTACACTCAAAGATTTGGGAAACAGAGGTATTGGACTTCTCTTAGTGAAGGAGGTATTTTCCTGCATCTGTCCTTTCTTCCTTATCTTACACATGATTTAGTTTGATTTCCGACAGCATTAAGTCAAAGGCTTTGGTATGAACACAGTGGTCTCTGCTTCCAATAAGCAGCAGTAACTTATAGTGAAGTATGCATAATAAGGAAAATAATAAATATCAAATTGGTAAAACAGAGAAAAACACAGTGCAACAAAGACTTAGAAAATTCCATCTTCCATCACAAGAAGTTTATTGCATTTCAGGAGAAAAGTAATGGGATAAAAGGAGTAAGACAAATTTGAATAAAAAATCAAACCAATTAATTCAACAGAATTGGAATTTTGCAGACTTATTTACATGCAGTAACACCATCCTCAATTTCATTTATGATTTGAGTAAAAAAGTCCTCTCATCATATGTGACAATTTGAACTAATCTATCTACATTCTTTGGGGTTAACTGACTTAAGACAGAGCAACATTTCTGATGCAAAATGGTCCAAAATCAAATGAAACTTGGAATCAGGCAAATGCAGGCTGGGATGGAGCTCAGAGGTCTCTGCTGTAACCTCCTGCTCACAACAGGTGAGCTCTGAGGTCAGACCAGGCTGCTCAGGGCCTCACCCTGCTGGGACTTGAAAACCTCCAAGTACAGAGATTGCACCACCTCTGCGGACAACCTGTGCCCCTGCCTTACTATCTTCATGGGGCAAAAAGTGTCTTCTTACATCCAGACTGAAACTCTTGCCTTTCAGTTTATGTCCATTGTCTCTACCTTCTTGCCCAGCCCCAATTTACAGCCTGACTCAGTCTCCTCGATGACTTCCCTACAGGCACTGGGGGCAGCTGGTAGGTCCTCCCAAAGCCACCATCTCTGCTCCAGGTTGTACAAGTCCAGCTCCCCCAGCCTCTCCTTGCAGCACCAGCCTCACCATCTTGGGGGCCTCCCCTACCCCTTGTCCCTGTACAAGATATGTCCCATGTCTTTCTTGTCTTTCTTGTTCTGGGACCCCCAAGCTGGGTGCAGGATTCAGATACCATCTAACGACTATGAGTAAAGGGGATTAATTGTGAACAGGGTACAGGTCCCTGGGATGAGGACAGCCCATTTCATTCTTTTAGCTACCTTTTCCTAATGCTTTCCAGTTGTTGCATTTACTAACTAGTAATTGTGTGTGCTCCAAATCCTATGCAAATGTCAGCTAAAACACATTTTTTGTCAAGAATCTCCCCCCACCTTCAACTTGTAGTTGTGGACCTATGTGGGAACTGATGCTCCAAGGTGAGCTTTGCTGTATGCTAGACCCTGTGGAGGAGCTGCTCACAACATGGAAGTGCTCTGGTTCTCTTCAGAGAGCTTTTTCCCCCACAGAAAACCATTCCCTCACAGTAGAGCCCCGTGTCTGCAGCAACTGGTTGCCAACACATAAAGTACAGGAGAGTGTGCATTATTTCTTGTCTGTTTTCTCCCACTGACTTCCACAAGTTATTCTACCAGGACACTGGTTTCTAAAGACCTGTATGTAGTATGTATATGTAGTGCTACCACTAAAAATCAATCACACTGGAGCACAGAAGTTAATACCTTCTTCATTAAAATAGTTTATTAATAAGCAAAATAAAAACAGTGGCAAATATTTCATGACATGATTCAGTTTTAAAATATCTCAGAATAAACAGAAGCAATGCAAGCTAATTAATTATGACAATGTCATACGCCCATAAGAAAAACAGGTCAAATCTTGAAAGTAATCAGAACCTTCTCTGGCCCTGTCTGAAATGCAAAAACATACGCAAAATGAGGAAATCAGCCTCATAATTAATTTACTATTGTTTAATAAGGCCTCAGGAGTGAGGATTGACCTCTCCAACTTCAGATATCTAAATGCAGGTTGAGCCAGTTGCTGTGGCAATAAAAAACAATAGAAGAAATCTGACAATTTTAAGTCTATATTGGAATAAAATAATTTGAGCTTATAAATTTTCCTTTCTCTCGGCTGATTATAAAGAACAGGACAATCTCTGCACTATGCCTCCCATCCTATGTTTCACATCCAGAAATGTGTTCTCGGCCCACCATTTGTGTCAAGCAATACAATTTATCCTACATCTCTTTTACTGTGACCTAAGCAGAAATAAGTGGTATTGGTATGTTCATGCAGACGTTTCTGCTGTTCAGCTCAAAATGGTAACCAATAAAATTTCAACAGCTTGTTTGTGTCCTCTATAAAAAACCATGAGAATTAGCAAAATGACAGCTTAAAACTTCTGCATCTGTGCTGTGACTGAAGTTACATGACCAGTTAGCACAAATTCAGAAATGCATAACTCAAGAAGGGTGGGTGCAATGCACTGTTTCAAGTTATTCTTACTATCTACATAACAATAATCCCTCAAGGTTCCAGCTAAGATCAAAGTCCAACCATATTACAGGGTTCAGACATTCATAATAACACTTTGTCTGCTGTGGATGAAAACATGCCACTGCAGCACCCGAGGTTGATACTACTTCCAGGTGTATCCTGCCTCCTTGTCCATGGAGATGTTGTGCCTCCAGAGGGAAGGGCAGCAGTAAAGCCTAAATGCTACATTTAAGCCACTGTATCTTTCCCTCTGCAGGGGAGCAAAGTAGCAGATCACAGAATCATAGAAGGGCTTGCATTGGAAGGGACCTTAAAGATCATCTAGTTCCAACCAAGACACCTGCAGTCCCCTTCAGCTGCAGCTGTTACACTCACTACAACTGAGTCCTAAAGGAGCAGATCTTGTTTCAGCTAATGTATAAAACAGACGTGGCACGAGAGAGGTGAACTGGCTTCCCAAGATCATTCAGATGATCATAGAGAAAGCCGAGACAGACCCACTACACAGTACTGTCTCCAACCTAGCTACTAAATCAAAATCTCTTATTTCTCAGAGACAAGTCTTAAAATGAGGCACATACTAATGCAGCAATGCCAATGGCCAGCATCAAACATTGGTGGGCAAAGCCATGGGGTATCAAGTGCATGGTCTTAAAGACCAAGTAGGTCTCTGGTAAGTCTAACAGAACCAGGGGTAGGGAATGAAGGGGGAATTCTGCTCTATTTACTTACATTTAGATCACCATACAAGTACAGAAGTGCCAAAGGGTGGGAAAGGAGGAGCAATTCTTTCCCCTACATTGTGGTACAGTAACAGATATGCGTTGAAGTGACCCTTACTGCTGCTGAGGTCTCAGCTCACTAGCCAGTGAATCCACTCTTTGCTCAATGCAACCTTCTCCTATCTGCACTCAGAGCTTTACAAATTAACCTCACTGTCACAGTGATTGGTGGGTGTGGGCTTATTTTCTCCGGTGACAAACAGCTGATGTTTGCCTGTTTCAGATCCCTGCATAATCCCTGCAAATATTGTTCAAGTGCTGAATTCCTAAGCAAGCTGAAAAATGCATTGTTTAAAACATGATTGTGTTCCAGCATTGCACAATATTAATATTGCTAAAGCTACTTAATGCTTGCACATCTAATGCATTTATACAGTAATTTGATAAATTTTAACAGAACTTTTTAATAACTGTTTCTAGTTATTCATTAATTTGTAAATTTGGACCAAATGTTTCATTGGTCTCTACATGTGCACATATCATTGGTTGCACATTCATTCTCCTCTTCCGCACGACAAAAAATTTCCACTTTTTTATGAAGATCTGCTCTTCATTTGGTCTCTCCTGTTAGACAAGGTGTACCTCAGTTGGATTTCATTTGTGTTTTCAGTTTGGCAAGACCAGTGAGACATTCATCTCTCCATTTTCTCCTGGCATCCAAGACTTTTGGCACAACTGGAATTTTTTCAGACATTGCCTGGAACAGAAAATTTAAGATGATTAAATCTCACGTTCTGAATACAAAGTTTCTCACCAGCATTGTTTTCCTGTTTTCCCGTGTCAGATCAAGTCAACATCGACACAAACTATCATGTAGTTTCACAAGCAACAGGTCACTAATTCTTTACATGGATGACTGGAAATGAGCCAACCCATATGAGAAGAAAAGTATTCCCACTTGTATAAGGTTATCCTGAATGTGACAATGAAGATGACTAAAGAAACAACAAAACATCAGCCTCTTCCCTCATTTTGCTCCACACAGCCACTGCCTAGTCTCTTTGACAATAATCTTTTATCAAGCAGGAGGTAGGCAACTGGGCCATTTACGTGGCTGAAAATGTGCTCTAAATCAGATTCTTGTGTGTGTTTTTAAAGCTGTGATGTCTCTTCTGGTTCCCAATAAATGTAATGAGGGATACAATGTTTATTAAAAACATTTTGTCTTAAGTGCCAGTTATAATAAAAATAATAGAGGGAGACACATAACAAACTCAGAGGAAAAAAAGGTATTTCTGAGTGTACAACTGAAGTTCTTAGAAGTGCCAAAGAAAAAGCAGGTTTTTTGAGAGAGCAGGTAAAGATTACAAGGTCATCTTTGCCAAAAGAGTACCTGAGGTCTTAGGCTTAAAAATCAAGTGTTGAGAAACTGGGTAAAACCAGGACCTGCTACTAATGACTGGCAAGCTGTGGTCACTCCAGAAAAAAATCAGCAAGAGGGACAGAGAAATAAGATAAGAAATGTCTAATGATTTACTCTAGGAAAGGATCCTTGCAAGCCCATCTTTGGTGTTGAAGACTGAAGATAATAAAGAGACACAGAAACAGATGTTGAAGTGGAATCCAGATTTTTATAAAAAACTCCAAAGTCTTTCATGCAAATTAAAACCTGCTAATTGTGAACGACTCCACAATTATTATTGATTGTTATTATATGCAATCTATGCTGTTAAAGCATAAAAGAATTCTTTTCCTTTTTAACATAGCTCATGTTGAAATTGCATTAAAACAAAACAATGCTATTTTCCAGACAGACTGCCTCCATATTTCGAATGAATCTCTGATAGCTGATCAGAAATGATCCAACACATACATGTGTTCTTTAGTGAAGCATTTAAAAAGGCAGAGTTAGGAAACACTTCAGTTAGTTCCTATGGTCAATCAAAACAGCCTACATAGTAAGTATAAACAAATTGTGGGCTTAGAAATATTAATAGATAAACTAGATCCCAATCCAGAACAGCACTTTAAAACATCTTTAAACGTGCAAGTAACCTTACCAGACTGCTCACATGCTTAACTTAAACATGTATTTGCAGCGCTACAGACTGGAACTCTATTTGTAAAGCACACAAAAACAAGAAAAAGAACACCCAGAAGGAAAAAAGCTACAGGGTTTATACAGCAAGGAATCTTCTTCCTTAAAGTACATATTCACACAATAAGTACAGACTACGGATACCTATAGCAGTTAACTGAAATGGTACAAATTTTAAAATAAAAGCTAATATTCTTTGTTTTGAGTGTCACTGTTTTTATCAATTCCGTATTTACCTGATTGACTTTCTGCACAATTTCACCTGAAAATTCTGGAACTGGCCCAAAGGTGTTCAGAACAAGTCTCATTCCTTCAGAGTATCTTTCACAATAATTTGCAATACCTAAAAATAAGAGTGAAAAGTTAGATTTCAACAAAATTTCCTAGTTAAGGTCAGTAAGGCTGCCTGTGCTTAAGCACTGTCTTGTATCAGAAACCCCAAAAATGGTCTGCTCTTATGATTAAGACATCTAATTGTCATCAAGGAAAAATGGATTCTAACCACCACATTTCCATTAAGGTTCATGGAAAAATCATTTAGGACACACCTTCATTGCAAAACCAGTTAATGTTACATACCAGCAGGTATGTGAGGGGTGTAGTACACAACCACAGCTTTACTCGAGACAAGAAAGCCTCCTTGACCAGTGTCCACAAGAAGAGTGCTCTCACCTCTCCTCTCCTCCTGTTCAGTATGTGTCATATCCATTGCAGCATTCCTGTTATTATTTTTATTTATGAACCTGGAGTGTATCAAGAACAACATGGCTCAGGGAGAAAGGGTCAAAGGCATGGAGACCCAGGTGGCCTCTAGTGAAGGAAAAACACCTAAGGAGGAACAGATGGATCTTGCAGATCAATACCTTATATTGTAACTGGGGTTAGTGACAGGGATTTGACTTTTATGACCCTCTTTGAAGGTCGAACACTTGTAGGGGGAGACAGGATCAACCTGACAAAGAGGAGAAAAAGCATCGTTGCCAAAAACCTCGCCAATCTGGTTAGAAAAGGTTTATATTAGGATCACTGGAAGAGTGAGATTACAACGAGTAATCAAGAGAGCAAGGTGTGTATGGGGATCGAAAGAAAAGAGTGCAGAGTAACAGGTACAAGAAAAATCTCAAAGTACAAAAAAGGCAGAAGGAGTCCACTCTAGTGTATATGCACAAATGCATGCAGCTGGAAAACAACCAGGGGAAGTAAGAGTGCGGTCAAACAACTACAACATTGTTGGAGAAACTGTGGTGTGGTGGGATGGCTCACACAGCTGGAGTGCTGCAGTGGATGGATATGGTAAACAGAGCAGTGTCAGCTCCCAATTGTTCTGGTGCTTATCCAGCTGACACAAGGCTATGACACTTAGACCAGTGCTGAATAGTTTGGGTTTGGTACTTTTCCAAAAGTCAAGGGATACCTTTCAAACATTTGGTAAGCTAGTTTAATATGAATGGATATGGCTGATCCATTTACCTGGTGAATGTCAACTTCTGAGCTGGATATGGCCTTCAAAGCTCACTCAGCCAGCTAGACTTGAAAATTGAGCTCCTACTGGTAGCTCGCTTTGAATGAATCAGAACAATTTCTGGGTGGGTGTAGCTCATCAGTTCAACAGAGACAAGCCAAATGCAGGCTGGGTAATCCAATTTACTTACTGCACATAATGTATGAATGAAAAGAAGGCTTACATAAAGTCAGCAAAATAGGAAAAGGTGGGAAAAAAAAGTTATGGTTCTAGAGAAGAGCAGCAGCATTAGTGCAGTTGATCTCAACATTGTGGCTGAAATGGCAACATGCAGGCCTGTATGCTGCGCACCAAGCAGGGAGGGGGCACTGCAAAATCTTTCAAGTCTCAAGTGAGGGAAATAGACCAAGTTAGAATACACACATAGTCTCAGCCAAGGACTAAAAAAAATAATAGTTTCAAAATAACTAACCCAAGGTAGTACTCTCAGTGTGAAATGTCAGTGGAGACAACTGCAATTTTAATCTAGTTTCAGCAATCAGGATCAACTGTATGCTGCTGGCTTGAAGAGGGCACTTGAGCAATGGGGAATATTGCTGGAAAAATCACTTTGCTTTTCAACTGCAAACTCAAAATTAGCAAATATTTGACTCCAGGTCTTTATTCTTGGGAGTCCTTTGGTTCAAAGGTCAGGGCTATTGCAAAGGTGGATGAGAGGAGCCCTTGACTAGAGCATAGGGACAAGAAGGAGGAAAACAAATATGACAGAATCCCTTTAACTTTAATCCTTGTTGATACTACCCAGGGAGCAGCTTAATCTTAAAGAATTAGCATTAGTAAACAGTGTGAGACAGACAGGAGAGCACCCTAGAGATGGAGAAACAGGAAGAAGATGGCAAATGGGGTTGTTAAAAACAACCATCTCTCCTTGCATCCAGTTTCTGCACCCACACTGTGCCTCACTACCTCTAACTGGAGAACAAGAATGACGCAAGATGCATCTGGGACAGAGAAAGAGGATGATAGCTTCCTCTTGTCTATGTGGTTTGTTGGCTCCCTGTCTAAACCTCCATCTTCCCTGCACACGCTCGCTTCATCAGCTTTGGATAAAAAAGGCTGTGGGAGAAGGCAGATGTTGCAGCAATTGGGAACTATGAACACAGGGCAGAAATACCTCCAGGGAAGGCAGGAATTCCTTGAATCTTCCTTCCACCACTTAGTCACAGCTATGGCAGAGAGTGAAAGAACTTCTTGAGGTAACAAAAAGTTCTAAGGGAGTAGTGGATGCATGATTATAGAGAAGGGGAATACCCTATCTTCCTTGAAAGTTCGAAACCCATCTCAGCATTTCTGACTTCTACAGTATAGTTACAGGAACATGTTATCACAGGCTAGACAAGGGCATTGATTCAAGGCTCTCCAGCTGCCCATATCTATCTAGGACACACAAGGCTCTTTATACCACCACCAAAGGAATAAGCTGCTACTTATTCAGCTTCAATAAGAGTCCGGGCAGTTTCTAAAATGGCTAATGAACTGTCCCACAAGAATTTGTCCAAATAACCACACTTCAGGTTTACAGGTCCTTACCTGAAGGACTTGCACTGGTGTGGTGCAAACATGGTTCTTGCTGAAATGCCTCTAGTTGCATCATCAAGATGATCACGACATTGATGAAGAAAAAATAACTCAGAACAGATATTTAGCTTAGAAACATGCATAAAATGCTTCACTGCCCCAAGAAGACCTCTTCGCAAGTGAAGTTCATAAAGAGAAAGGTGATGGGAGTAGCAGGAAGAAAGGGAAAATGCAACAGTATAAAATGTAGTATATTCATGCATTACAGTTTGTAAGCATCTTGAAGTATCTCAGCTTCTTCCTTTCTCTTCATAAGAAAGACAACAGGTGTGAGGGATGCAAGAAGCAAACTTGGTAAACCAGTCTGACAAGGAGACTACACATGGGGCAAAACAAGGAAGGCACTGAGATATTTGTGAAAGAGAGCAAGACACAGGAGCAAGTGTTACTGGCATGGTCAGGGAACACGCCAAAGAGAGGGTGCTTCATAATACTAAGTATTAACTTGATGACTTTCAACTTGATGAACAGCATAACAAGATACTGTAATGACTCAAAAAGAACTAAGATGGTCAAGCCACTGATACAATAGCATCAACAACTTGAAAAGACTGGGGTGGGGTTGACTTTAGCACATAAAATCTAAGAAGCAGCTGCACTGAAAGATGAGTATGGATGACAGTAGAAAAGAAGGGGCATATTTTAGGAACATCATGGAGTAATCTGACATGGTTAGGTTATGTTCAGAGAAACAACAGTCCCAAACTCTGTTTTACTGATGGAGGAATTACATTTCTAGACATTACAGCTCCAAGGGAAACTTTCTAAATGTAATCCTATCTTCAGCAAAGGTGTGTGTGAACACAGATGCATGCTCTTAGGGTGTGAATTCACACAGGACACTTCATACGCTACATTAATTCCCATATGAATTCACTTCGAATTCTAGTTGTATGAATATTTTTGACTACCCTAAGACAGCAGTAGCACCCAAAAAAGTTTTATTCTCGCTGTTCCTATATTATCACCTCAACAGCAATGCACAAACGTTTCTGCGGGTCTGTGAGCTGGATCAAGGAATTAAATTGAGTCAATATGAACCACTCGGATGTGCTTTTTTTGGCCCCCCCAAGCAGTTTCCTTCCTGTCTGTTGCAATTCAGTTCTCAATATGCTGGTGGGGTTTCTGCTTCTTTCGATGACTTGATGCTGTCATTTTATTTCATGTTCACAGCTGTTGGCTCACTGCCATATATTCAACATTCCTAATACTCATGCATGGATTAACTGGTAACACAAAGTAGCCTGGATAATAGGTTTGATAGGATCATTTATGAACTAACACAGTAGAAACAAGGCACTGGCACACAGGAATTTCATGGGAAGATCTCGATGTATGCATCCCACAGGGAAAGAAGAAACACTGATTTCAGAAAAAATAATTGGAATAATATTCCTTATTCAAAACCAAACAAAAATGTCAAATCACCCTAAAAAAAAAAAGAAAAAACAGACTCTCCTACAAATAACACTATTTCTCTCACATGCCTCCTTCATGCCTACCATTCTTCCTCACTGATTAACAGAGTTTAAGATTGTGGACAACTAATATCTTATAGATGTAAAGAAAGGCAGCTGCTGTGAAGCTGGTGAAGCTGATAGACAGGCTAACAAAAAGGATAGAGGGGGTTTCTTATATCTACCTCCATTTCCCTCCACTGATAAAAAATAGACAGTATTAGTACAGTGCTTCACAGCAGGTTGTCACAGAGTCATTTAGGCTGTAAAAGACTTCTAAGATCATCAAGTCCAACCATTAACTCTGCACTGCTCAGTCCACCACTAAACCATGTCCCCAGGTGCCACATCTACATGCCTTTTCAATACCTCCAGGGATGGTGACTCCACTACTTCCCTGGGCACCCTTCACAACAATGCTTCACAACCCTTTCCACGAAGTCTTTTTCCTTCGTATCCAATCTAAACCTTCCCTTGAGGGTTCCACCTCAAGGTGCAACTTGAGGCCATTCCCTCTTGTCCTATAACTTGTTTCCTGGGAGAAGAGATTGATCCCACATGGCTACAACCTCCTTTCAGGTAGTTGCAGACAGCGATAAGTAGTTGCAGAGGCTCATCTACCCTGAGCCTCCTTTTCTCCAGGCTAAACACCCCCAGCTGCTCCTCATAAGATTTGTGCTCTGGACCCTTCCCCAGCTGCGTTGCCCTTCTCTGGACTCCAGCACCTCAATGTCTTTCTTGTAGTGAGGAGCCTAAAACTGAACACAGGATTCAAAGTGTGTCCGCACCAGTACCGAGCACAGGGGGTCAATCACTGCCCTGATCTTGCTGGTCACACTATTGCTGATACAGGCCAGGATGCCATTGGCCTTCTTGGTCACCTGGGCATACTGCTGGCTCATGTTCATCCACTGTCAACCAAGACCCCCAGATTCTTTTCCACTGGGCAGCTTTCCAGCCACTATTCCCCCAGCCTGTAGCACTGCATGGGGTTGTTGTGACCCAAGTGTGCGACCCAGCACTTGGCCTTGTTGAGCCTCATACAGTTGGCCTTGGCCCATGGATCCAGTCTGTCCAGATCCCTTTGCAGAGCCTTCCTGTCCTCCACAAAATCAACACTCCAACCCAACTTAGTGTGGTCTGCCAACTGACTGAGTGTGCTTGATCCCCCTTGCCCAGACCATTGATGAAGATGTTAAATAGGACTGTCCCAAATACTGAGCCCTGGGAAGCACCACTATTTACTGGGCCCCAGCTGGATGTAACTCCATTTCACCACCACTCTCTGGCCATTCAGACAGTTTTTTACCCAGCGAACAATACACCTGTCCAAGCCATGAGCAGCCAGTCTCTCCAGAAGAATGCTGTGGGAAACAGTGTCAAAGGCTTTACTAAAAGTCCAGGCAAACAACATACATAGCCTGTCCCTCATGCACTAAGTGAGTCATCTTACCATAGAAGATCAGGTTAGTCAAGAAAACCCTTGGCAATCAAGAGGAGGTCCATACTATTCCATATTATGTGAAGCAATAGTGGACAACTGAAGAGAAGTTAGCACTGGAATGGAACTATGAACATAAGCCCTCACATGTCCTTACATCAGCAATTTTGATTTAAACTGATAAGGGCAAGAGCCTGAGTCAGTCTGTGAGCACATAAAGAGGAGCAGCTCTAGACTCAGAGACAATGCATCTGCAAGGGCAGGAGTGAAGCAATACTTCTCATGATCCAAGTTATTGAACAATGGTGGAAGTGGTCCAGTACACAAGTGTACTAAATATGTTATTTTAGGGTTATTTTTAATTGAGAATATTATTTAATGTTAAAATAACTCTACAGGTGTATTTTGGTTTTGTATTTTGCAAGCCTATCACCAGACTACTCTTTCGGTTTATCAGTCACTTGGATTGTATTTCCCAAGTTTTCTTCCCAACATATTAATAGAAGCAATCATTAACTCTAGAAGCTGGATAATTTCTGCCATTAATAAACAACTTACCAGTTTCATGTGTTACCTAAAATTGGTTTGAGATGGGAAATTTCAGAAATGTTTCTGTAACAATGACTACTTCCTGATAGGAAGAAGGAAGCTAAACTGGATCATGATGGAACACTAAATGCCAAAGAGCACTCCAGGAAGAGCCTCAAAACCAACCCAGATGGCTTACATGATTCCATTTATCTCAAGTAAACATTGTTTTAGAATTCAGGAGTCTAAAATATGGATAAGAAAAAAAAGGATTCACAAGCATGATTTGATCTCTAAAATGGATTGCCATTTTTTTTGGTATTAATAAACATTCTGTTTCAGTTTTATGTTTTAGTAGAGGCAGTTCAACAAGTTATTCTGACAGAAGACCCTGTGCATGGATGGTTCCTGCAGAGGATGGCATGAGAGCTTAGTGGAATGGTAGGGGCTGGACAGGACAACCCTGGCCTTCAAGACTCCAGGTAGGTTGCTGTGCTGAAGGCTAGTGCTACATGCATCTGTTTTATATAAGGAATGTATTTGGTTATACTGAGTAAGTCTAAAATCACTAGAGAGAATAGAAAACTGCTAGATATTAATATATCAGAAGAGGGAAGCTTTTAGAAAGGTGCCTCTACTTAGAGAATGAATGTTGTTTACCTAACAATACACAAAAGCAAACACTCTGTGACATTTAACTTACTGATATACAACCAAACTGACAAGCTGAAAGACTCTGGTAGAGCATCCACAATTCCATATTCTTGGCAAATTGCTCAGTCAGCCTTAAGAGACATGAGCTTCTGCTAAGTAACTAACCAAGAAGTAGAAGTAAAATAACACTTTAATTGTGCACTAGTATTTTATGATCTTGGTTTCTTATTTTTATTTTACTATTGTATTCTACTTTTGTTTGTTTTACTGTTGCAGGGACCTCCCATGTCAGGGAGCATACAAAAGCAGAATAAAGGCACAGCCCATAATATAACAAGTTAGTTTTTAGTTGACCTTCATTTCTTGAAGTTTTTGTGTTTTGCTGAAGTCTTTGCTCAGTCTTTGTAACACTGATCCACAATTTTTCTTTCATTTTATGAAATTCACTTTTTATTTAGCCAGGATTCACATATACTATTCCAAAAACATCTAAAAATCTGTCTTAATTATGCAAGACAGATATTGAACCATTACTTGACTGCTTTGTCAAGTCAACTTCTTACGCACAGTATTACGTGACTAAAGTAATTTTACTTCACTCAGGATCTAAGCCAGCTTAAAGCACATCAGCTCCAGTGATATTTACACCAAGTTCTTGCTACAAATTTGGGGAGGGCAGCATTCATCCATGGAAAGTGATTTTCTGTTGACAATGGACTATCAGCTGAACTTTTTCAATATTTTCTTTTCCTGACACTCAGACAGTCCTGAACTATGGGTACAGCAATGCTGTCAAAGCACTGGGATGAATCTTGGAAAAAATTAATTACACAGCTAGTGTTTTAATGATTTGCAATCTTTCATCTGATCGTTTACAATAGAATAGTCAATATCCATTTCCTTCCATCAACCTCAAGTTTTAGGTAAGTTTTCCTTTTCTTACCATTACAATAGAGACAAGTCATAGTTGCAGCAAACCTAACATGGTTTTATTACGCAACATTTCCAGAGTCTTGTGCAATGTAAGCCTTCCCTTCATATTCATAACATTTTAAACTACCTACCTTCTGCATTAAGATGCATGGTTTCCAGAGGTCCAATAAATGCATATCGCATTCCCAATCCATCAGACATCACAAGGTCTATATCAGTAGGAGACATTACTCCTTCCTAAGCAGCAAAAGTAGAACAGGAAGGAAGTGTGGTGAATGCTTGCTTTTAATATAAAATTTCACAGGTTTTGTATATAATTAAAAAATTAAAGAAGTAATAAAAACTGAGGTCAGAAATAGCAGTTAGCTTGCAAAGAGAAACAAAACTGCTTGCCAGAAATGTCCATCTATTATGCAAGCCTTCCTATGGTTCAGTATAAGCACTCATTCACATCTCTAAGATTGCTGTACTTCATAGTCCAACTACACTTTGATATATTTTCACAGTATTTAATTTATAAATTAATATACTTTTACATACAGTATGTACTATTTGTACACAGTAGTTTGCCTGATACTTATTACTTTCAATAATTCATGTACTAAAACTAAACTAGAGCTGTGTATGTTAACCAATGTCCTTTTTTTCCCCAGAAACTGAGAATCAGAGAAGCAAGCATGCATGACACTCTTAATAGCACATGACCAGAAGAGTTTATATCAAAGCTAAGTACCATAGTAACTCTTTCAAATACAGGAGTTTTGGCTGGATGTTACACCTTCCCTCATACTCTCTTGGGCTTGGATTTTTTGGGCAGAGTCATAGTTAGCAGAATGGCAGTGCAGCAGTGGGTACTACTCCTGAGGCCACCTGCAAAAAAAGCTGGGACCAAACATGCAGGCAATGCAGTTGCCACTCCCTCCCAAAAAACTCATCAAACATTAAACCTACCCAGTCTCAACCTGCCCAGGGTTCTCAAGTTCATTGCCAGCCTCCCATTTCAGAGTTGGCAGGATACAGAGTATGCAAAATGAAGCATTTTGGTGTTAAAACCTGAGCACTGCTATTCCACCCACAAGGTAGCACTTACAAGAAAGCCAACGCCTCCATCAGGTTAGGGCAAGCACAGGAAAGCTTGTAAAACAATGAGTTACAGTTCATTACCTTAACAGATTTATTTGAGAATAAAACTATTTATTACATGAGGTTGTTTTCACCTACTAGAAAGATATGAATTAACTAAAACTTGTTCTAACCAATTCTGTCAGACAAAGCTTAGTTTCAAGAATTTGTCCTCTCTGTTCACAGAGACATGAAAACATTTCCTTCAGGTTTAGGAAGGCAGAAGAGGTTCTGAACTGCTTCTAATTTGTCTTCTCACCCTACTCTGAGGTGCTGTCCTCACTGAGTGCCTCTTTCCTAACAAGCCCCTTTGAGCTGCAGAATACAAGTATGTATACACATTTGCTTGGCCAAAGACACATCTTTTTCTGTTAAATTTCCCTCTTGCAGGGCCCTGCCTGAATGCCCCTTTATAACATACAGGCATCAGCTAGAGTTACAGGCACACAGGACAACAACCTGTGGTAGACACTGACATCTGAGCTAGACATCTAGACTCTCTTTGTAATCACTAGGGAGAAAAAGGAAATCAGCATCCTAAAGCAGGCTCCTAGAATAGATGAGTTGTGTCTTAAAAGGGTCTAATTCTCCTCACTGATTGAAAGATGAGTAAAGATCTTAGATGTCAAAGTCTACATTGTAGACATCCCATCTTAAGTGACTTAATTCTCACCCCACAGTGTCTTCCTGTGTTCATCATCTACATCATCTACTGTTGCTTTAAAAGAAAGTTATAAGTCAAGAACCAACACAACTTCTACAGCTGGCCACAGACATTGTTTTGTCATCTCAGGCTTAAACAAAGACATTTATAAGATGATCTCAAGTCTCAACTTGTCAGTTGCTCCTATCAAAAACAAGCCTGTCTGAATCCCTGTTGCAGATGACTTTATAACTCTACCTTGAAAAGAAAACATTAACAGAATTATTAAGATCTATGCACTATATATGGAACATACGGTTCTGGTAACAATTTAATTAGACAGTAAATGGCAGGGATAAGAAAGCATTATTTTCTTCAACTTAAAGGTAAAGCATAGGCATGGTAAAGTAACTCATCTAGAGGCAGACAGAAAGGTCTGCATAAAGACAGGACTAAATGAAAACCTCAGACAGAATTCAGATTACAGACCAGCATCAGTGCAACTAACACAGGCATCATAGGTTCTGTGAAAGCTTTTTCTCCTGACGTGGCAACACAACTTCTCTGAACAACGTCAGCAAAGTCAACAAAAGTGCTCTTCTGTTAGGAGTGCTTCATTCAAACAATGAGTTGTGCTGGTAAAGCTGTGCTTGATGAGTGTTTGTTTCTCCCCACCCCCACCCCAGTTGACATTTATTTGTGGACAAAAGATTAACCACAAATTCCGGACAAGCATTTGAACCACAGCAGCAGTTAAAAACTGTAAACATAGCATTAAAAGAGTTAACAGGCTCTTGAAGCACTTCAGAATAATTGCAAATTAATTTTCAAATTAAAAACTTATTTATTTATTTTGATACCATAGTCCTCAGCTTTGATACTGACATTTGAAGACCAGGTGCCCTCTGAGTCATGACATGAGTGCTTTGCTCTTGGTCTTTTGACTACAGCTGCAGTTGATATTTACAGGTGCTAAAAGGCAAGAATTGTTGCTACTGGGAGGAAAACATGACAGATCCCTTGAGCTGAGAGATATAGTATTTTATACACACAAGCTCAGCTTCTTGTCACATAGACTCTTAAAGAAAACGTTTTTGCTTTTTCTCTTCAGAAATTAAAAACACATAAATGATAAACAAGTTTGACCATCCTCCCCTAGGGAATAATCCTACACCCACTTACATTAAGGACATCATAAGTTGGTGGAATGATTCAGCAGGGTGGGTGCAAGGTTAGCAAAGTGTCTTCCACAAGGTTTGGTGTTTATGCTAAGCACCAAACAAGAAAGAGTTCCAACCCAGTTTCATTAAGTCTAGGTGTGAAATAATCTTCCCAAGGGGAGTTTTCATCCTGGATTACCCTGCTTATAAGCCATTGCCTCCAGCACTTGTCAGAGGGAAAAGGAAGTGTATTGAGTTCACTAGAAGCTCTTGAAGCTACAGAATTAAGCTCTTAATTTAAAATAAATTCCACCAGCATCCTCAGTGGTCCCAATGGCCAGTCAAACTTCAAAATCTAGACCAGCTCAGAATCGTCCACACTTCTTACGACATCACAAGTTCATTTTCCTCGACATTTTAATCTCCAGTGATGCCACAGTACTGTCCTAATGAGCCTTTGGTATTCTATTAGTGCTTCTCTCTATGCAGGGACCCTTTTCACGCCTCCAAAAACCTGCAGTCGTTCTGCAGTATCCACCTTTTGCTCTGACCCAATCTGTTTGGTTTTAATCAACAGTCTTTACATCTGTGACTCACACTCACATCGCAACTTCTGTCACTAACTTGGTTTGTAATTATATCAGATGTAGCATGGCCAAAACCCCCCAATCTCACTTTTTTTCATTCTACCAATTCATCATGTTCTTCTACTCACTCCAGTCTGTTTACAGAGTTATTCTGGACTCCACTGCCTCCTGGACCACATACTTCCTGTCTTCAAATCTTCATTCTTCATTCTACTTCATTCTCTGTATCTCCCAAATCCAGTATTCTTTTTTTTCTGATTGCCACTAATATATGCATTCTCTCTCAGCAGCACTTCTTACACCCTTCTCTTCACTATGACTTCAATGAAGTCCCTTCTGTCTACACCCTGATGAGATCTTTTTCCAGTCCTGTCATTTTGAGCAGATAACTTTCCTCCTATATCACTCTACCAGCTTCATCTCTGCGCATTTCATAATGTTTGAGAAACCTGTTGTCCTACACAGTTCACACCTACTTTGCTGGCCTTTATCTTCCTTCTTCCATGGCACCTTCACTCACCTCACACTGTAAGAAACACTTAATATCAACACTTTTTTATCCCTGTCCCTTTCAACTTCCTTTTATGATGTTCCCCCTTTCATGGGGCACTGTAACTAGATGTTTAACCCTATATGTTATCTTTGATCTTCTGGAAAGGTCCTCTGTATAATGCTGAAATATAATTAATAGTAAGGAATTTGGAATTTAATAAGTCTTGCCAGCATTTAAGGACTGCTAAGCTAATCACCTGAGAAGGGAAGGGTACATAAATTAAGGATTTAAGACAATGCATCTGACCGCTGTCAAAACAAATTAAAATGGCGTGACTTTATTTTCCGAAGGATTAACAAAAATGGCAGGCTGCCCATTCTTCTCGTCTTTTACAATGACTACAACATAAAAGAAAGCCCACTTGTGAAGAATAAAAACACATTTAAGACGGTATTAAAAACTTATACAGAGGGAAGCAGAGACTCTTAAAACATTTACACAATCCATCCTGCAAAGCAGTTTTAACGCATTCTTAAAAGCAGATGAAACTCCTAAATTATATCAAGGCTAAAAAACTGTCATCTTCCCTTTGTTATCTCTGCTGCTGTATTTTATGACCTTCTGGTAAATTCCAGGTGATGTTTAAAAAAATACTTCAAAAAGTTAAGATTCCACTCAATAATCCACAGTTAAAGGACAGTCCTAGACATTCAGAGTAAGGTTTGCGACTGCTGAACTGAAGTGTTGGTGAAACCGTTTGGTTGTTATTTTCTGGGTTATGTCTATCAAAACTGTACCTTCAGAACAAGACAAAGTCAAGCTATTTAACTAACAAGCTTTTGCAATGTAATCCCAAACTACTATAAAATGTATTGGTACTAGTAAAAGTACAAAAGCAATACTGTCCACAGTGCACAGGGTGCTTCCCAGGCAAATAAAGGCAGTAAGTCTCTGCTCCAAGGAATTATGAACACAATCAGATAGACCTGTGACCACTGTCAACGAAGATGTGAGAAAGTAAATAAATGGTAACAGAGACTAACAGAGAAAGCAGTTTGAGATATTTTTCATTACTGGCTACATAGTATTCTAATGGTTCCAAACTAGTAATATCAAAATTTAGGGTTGAGAGGAATAAAGATCTTCGACCTCACAGTACATCTTTTACTCTCATAATAATCAGTTTTGCAACACTTCTACCAAAGACCTAAAGACTAAAAACATAAACAAGAAATCTACAAGAACCTCAGTCTCACATAGGCTATGAGGTCCTACAGAAAGTTCTCAATCCTTAAGGAGACAGACTGGAGTGCTCCTGGTATCTGTTTTTTCATGGAATAAGTGTGGAGCATGAGGAGACAAAGATAACTGATGCAAAAAGTTCCTGCCACGAACACCTGCATTGCCCATGCGCTCATGACGTGCAAGTCAAAACAACGGTCAAAAAGACATCTTGTCACAAAGAGAGTAACTCACATCCAAAATGAAACATCTCTTTGTAGCACTCTTGCCTCAAAGGGAAGCACTTGCTTGAATTACATCTTTTAAACCCAAAAATGAATTTATGGTCTTTGCTTCCAAGTTCTTGTAAAGTCAAACTTCTGCATCCTTTAACCCTAATTGTCCACATGACCAATGTTCTCAGCACCTAATTGTATATCTCCAAATCAGTTTTCATTCTCCTACCTTCCTGCAATTCAAATCTCAACTTTCAGGCCTCTTAATTTTTTATCATCTTAACTCCACAATTCCCACTCCCATATCTAGTCCAGTCCTGCATTCACAGGATTAACAGTGTGGTTATTTTGGTCAAGAATGCATTATTAGTATGTTCCTCCTGTTATCATATGCAGTTTATCTTCCACCCCAGGTGCTATGTAGAGTAAGGAAAACATTTGTTACAGATACAATCAATGTGAGTAAAACTTGATTTTTAGGAGTCTCTCAAAGACTAAGAGTTGGAGAGGCTGATGTTTTCAACAATAAGATCTGAAAAGTGACTTAACAGTTAGAAAAGCAAGAAGTATTCCACTCCATTTGTAAGTGGAAAACACCAAAAGAACATGACTTGCAATAAAAATTGCTATGTTGGCAGCACAACAGTAGAAACACAAACTGCCCCTGGCCTGCAGCTCTAACCTATCTGCAGTGATTCTCCTTCCATCAAAGGTACCGTGCAGCCTGAAAGTCACAGAGCTGAAACTATACAGCTTTGACAGCTGCTATTTGTTCAGGCTTCTGGAATGGAAATACAGCCACCAAAGTTGTTACAGTTTAAACATAATTTGCCTGAAATGCGGTAAGTTTATACAAGAACAGAACAACTTGAAAACTTTGATGAGGCACAACAAAAGCAACTTTAATTATCTGTCAGTGCTTCAAGCCCTATTTTATCACTACTCACATAACCACCACCCACACAAAAGCATCCATACAGGTTCATACTAAAGGTTCACCTCAATTCAATACCTCCTTTCAATAGTAACCCATGAAGTGTTCTTGCACTCTTTCCACAGCTGAAGACCAAACACAGATTGATACTTTCAATGATATGTACTGCCTCAGCTTGCAGCAGTCCAGTCTTTGAGACTCTTGACAACTGGAGGTTGCTTCTGCACAGTCTAACATGAATGTGCCTAAGTGATCCCATTCAAATTTAGCATCTTAGGTTACTATGGCAGCAGCCTCCACAACTGAGTTTGCCCTCAGAGATGTGAAAGAATTCTACTAGATTTTTGAGGCATTATTGCCTGAATACCTGTGCTAACCAAGGGTATTATATCAATGTGCCTACACGTTATCAGACTTACTGGTCCCCAATTTCCCAAAGACTCTGTGATTTTTTTAAAAGACCTACGGTGTGCTAACTTCCATTTCTGCAGTATTTTGCTAGACAGTGTGTAAAACAGCACTTAAATTAGTATTTCATCAACTTCATATTTCAGTTTTATGATCCTCAGAGAAGTTCTATTTCTCCTTCACGGTCTGTCATTACTCATTTACTCTTTCTTCCTCCAAAAACCTTGTTCTTAGAATGACTTATTCTATGTCAGATCTCTCCCTTTCAAGAAGGGAATGCTGCAGTTCAGCTACCTTTCTTCTCATGAACTTACCTTCCTTGTCCACAATTTGTAGTAGTTGTTTTACATTTTTATTCTCAAAAATATTTCTTTTCATCAGTATTTCTATGATTTCAAAAATAATTTAGAGGTTTATTTATATAGGACCAGACTCTTTTCAGTGGTGCCCAGCACACAGGACAAGGGGCAACAGGCACAAACTACAAACTCAGACAGTTCCATCCGAATAGGAAGGAAAAAATTCTTTACTTTTAAGGTGATGGAGCACTGCAACAGGCTGTGGAGTACTCTCCTCTGAAGATATTCAAAACCACCTAGATGTGATCCTGTGCAACCTGTTTAGTAAGGGGGTGGGACTGGATGATCTCCAGAGGTCCCTTCCAACCCCAAGTATTCTGTGATCCCATGTTACTACCCTTTCTATCCTATGTCTTTCAATACAATTATAGCTTTCTGAAGGGGGTTTTCTTTTCATAAACTTGAGACTTTGTATTAAATGTTTGATAACGAAAGCAATTTTTAAAATTTAAATAAATATCTGCAGAAGATCAGTTCCTTCCTAACAATATTGTTTTCCTTATTATTATGCACCACCTCCTTTATATTGTTGTATTATGTTGCTAGTGAGAGCCAGTTACAGGTAAGCAAAATCAGTTCAGCAACTATGTTGAGATACTTCTTTGGAAAAAGAGTAGCTTTATTTATGATAATATTACCTTAAAGATCTTTACCTATATTTGTGTGCATGGTTGTTTTAAACAGCTTGAAAAGTCAAAACACTCTCTACAACAAAAAAGTAAGCCCTATTCAAGCCCAGTTGAAACTCATCTCAAGAGAATAGCAACCGACTCATAACTCAGCTCCTGCTGATGAAAGATCAGACTTTTCAGCACAGAACAGGTAACTGTGAGAAAAGCTGAAGGGACACAAACAAATGATTCTCAGCTAGAAGTCTGAATGGGCAGGAGGAGCAGAAATCTGTCTTTACCTACAAGTATCAAGTAACAGTTGAACCTATGAGTGCAATTCCTGAAAGGCCAAAGGGAAAACCATTTCAAATATTATTTTAATAACCAATGTCCAGCAGGTCAGTAACATTAAAAAAAATAAAAGGAAATTATGAGACAGCCTACAAAAAAGAAAAATCGGTATTTCGATTTCTATGATTTTAAGATTTTTCTTTTTATTGTTCTGAAAATAACAATATTCTGAAAAGAAAGCAGGATAAAGAACAGTTGTTATGATCACATATCACTTTGTTTTTGCCAGTCTTTGCTATTTGTAACTGACATCACTTCTTACCGATTTTAATCTACATGTTAAATATATATTTCATGTTCACAAGGGACAGTTTAACAAAGATGACACAGATTTATAGGAAGTTTAAATATACATCTCACTTGTCACATCTACAAAACTGACCAAGTGTGTGTGTAGATACCAAAAAAAATATATACATACACCCACAAGTCTCCAGGCTTCACTTATCACTGCATACTGTAGTCGATTCAGAACAAACCCCTCAATTTCTCTGTTTAGTTTGACAGGAGATTGACCAATCTTCTTCATTAGGGCATATGTTCTCTCTGTAGTAGAAGGATCTGTTTCTGGATGAGGAACAATTTCAACCAACGGCACAAAGTAAGGTGGATTTACCTCAAGAAGAAACACAAAAGAAGAATGTCAACCATTAATGGAACACGGTAATATAAAGCATCTTTAGAGGTGCTACTAGCTTGAATATTTTCCAGTGAACACAGTAAGCCTGATATTCTGATCCTGAAAGACTTCACCAATCCAATAAAAGCTGGTGCATTAATTCAAATTAAAAAAAAGTAATTAATCTCGCACTAACTTGAACTCTGTTTAATCCCAGCAAAGTTCATGGAGCTACACTAAAGATGACAGCACTCAAACAGTACTATAAGACTTTATATTGACTTGAGTAACTGATGCTTTCTCAATATTCAGGCTGCTTGTTGTTTTAAGTCATATGGTCACCACTTGTCTTTCCAAATTAAGGCATTTCCTTTTAGATATTCAGAAGCTTTATAATAAAAGTATTGCTAAACACCACCTGTAAGATGCAACACTTAATAGATAAGCTGCTACTGGCCCAAGTCTGTAAATGTATGCTAAACACAGTAACAGATGCCACATAAAACATACTTTGAAAATGTTGCTGAACAGGTTACCTTCAAACACTGTACTTAAAAAAAAAAAAAAAAAATTACCTTTCCCTGACTCTTCCCAAATGTAATTTCTCATCAAATCAAGAGCTTTATGTAATGTATTTTTGAAGTAAAAGCCAAAAAATCGTTAAGAAGATTCTGGAAACAGCTAAAAGCACTTTAGGCCACAGTGTTACAGAGAGAAACACTGCCTTGCAGTTCTTTCCAAAGTAGCAGTTCTTCAGCCCTACTCCTAAGGTGTTAAGCTCAGTTTTCCATCTGGTTTCCAGGCAATAGAAGAAGTTAGCATATCATAAATGACTACTAGGAATAACATTAGCATTTAAAGGATGGTAATTAAGCACTGATTCTTTCATCATGCTCCCTTATTGTCAACCACTCTTTACTATGCTCATGTAAATGCAAGTATGGGGTTTAGTCCCAGCAACATGCAAACAGTCTTTCCTTTCTGCATGTTCTTTCTGGTGACCAGTGACAGGATCCAAGGGCCTGAAGTTGTGTCGGGGAGGTTTAGGTTGGATATTAGAAAAAGGTTCTTCACCCAGAGGGTGGTTGGACACTGGAACAGGCTCCCCAGGGAAGTGGTCACAGCACCAAGTCTGACAGGCTTCAAGAAGCATTTCGACAGTGCTCTCAGGCACGTGGTGTGACTCTTGAGGATGGTCCTCTGCAGGGCTAGGAGCTGGACTTGAATGATCCTTGTGGGTCCCTTCCAACTCAGAATATTCTGTGGTTCTGTGATTCTTCTCAGTATTTACATGGTTCCCTTTACTGTATGGTCTGACCAATGCATAATCTGATGTATGTTACATCTGCTCTAACTACTGATGTAACACACTTCATTCCCTTTAAAGTGCCTTGTGTCTCACATAGCCTCTCTCACATCAGTCTCTTTGGCAGTGCCACCACTGATGCCAAGAACAGTGGGATGGATACCATCACAGGTGTGGTGTCAGGCAACTGAGCAAGACCCAAAACACTACAAGCACCATGACATTCTCTGAAGGCTTTTCTAACCCACAAGTATATCACAAGTTCCAATCAGAAAGAGGACAAGTTAATTATTGAGGGAGACTGGAGCTATTAAAAATTTCTTCCAAGACTAGTGTTGACAATGATCTTATTGAAATATTCCATTTCATGAATTTGGCATGGGGAGTATATGGGTGTGTTCACGAGCACATTGAGGAGACTCAGGAAGACAATTTTTCAGGAGTGAGATAATAGATGTTGGTAAAAACTAAAAGTGGTAGAACATACACGAAATAAGGAACAGGGGAAGATTTCTAAAAATAAGAAGCATTTCAGGAAGCAGAAGGTTACCTTAGTCTACGAAAATGAAAGCTAAGAAAGGATATAACAAAGAAAACACCAAAAAGAATTAAGCTACACAAAAGCTACCAACATACATAAAAATTAATTTTAATGGACTGTTAATAAGACTGGAACAAAAGTTAGAAGACATAAACAACTTCTAACAGGACTAGTGGAGTTAAAAGAAAAACTAACAGGGTTTAATATATTTTCAGGATGACTTGATTAAAGAGTTTCCTGTACAACAGGGGACTTGACTCAATGGCATAGTCTCCTCTAGCTCCATATTTCCGTCATGTGACCTAGCAGGCATATATAGTACATGAGACAACAACTCTGCAGCAGACCGCTACTGAAACTGCTCTCAGAGAAAAGCTGTACCTGTTTTGTATTGTATTGTAAGAATCCTGTGCATTTCTATCACACAGGTGTGCTACGGGATTTAATTTCTTTTTGTTTAAATTCCTGAACCATGTTAAGCAAAGGGATGAGATGCTTCTGCGCTTAGGGCACTTCATTTTATTTCACCTCAACATCCTCACCTGTGTCAGAGGCTCTACAACTTTAGCTTTTAATTAATTTTCAAATTCTACACTTGTTTTCAGTGTCTTCCAGAGCTGCTTCCTTCCTGCACCCACCAAGTCCTAGTGTTGTGTTTGAGATCTTAGTAATGGTAAAAACACCCAAAACCAACCAAAAAACCCCACCAAAAGCCATTGACTACTACAAAGCAAGTATATTTCCTGATAAAACAGATGCAGAAAGGCCCCTGGCTTACAGGTTCTCCAGGACACTCAGTACAGCTGAGATTACTGAGAAAATAGTCTCAGTTGCACTGCAAAGCCATTTCAGAACAATTAAGACATTTTAAGGCACTCCAGAGAGTTTGCTTTGAAAAAATACATATATCCTTATGACAGCAACCTAGGAAATGCTTACGCAGAGACTAGCTACTTTTCCAGATCTGATAAAACCTGGTTTCAGGAGCAGCTCCTATAAAGACTGCAGTTCAGACTAAACAAAGTCAACTGTACAGACCAACTTGGGAAAACAGTAAGACAGAGCACAATAAAATCAAAGACTGACAAACAGTCAGGTGGCCAGGAACTGGTTAAAAAAAAAAATAAAATTATATAGTTACTTAATACAGAAGTCTAGAAGAAACGCTGTTTCTTCTCTTGCACTACAGAAAGTTATAGCCCTGGAAATATGACATAAGGAACTACTGAATTTCAAACTGGAGAAAGGCTAAATCTAGGCACAGATACATACTTTGAAGTTTCACTTTGTTTTTTAACTAAAAGGGATCAAAACCTATTTATATAGAAACAAACCAATCCTTTTGTTCCCTTTGTCACCCCAAGTTACAAGGATGGTGATGGAGGGGTGTCAGAAAGGGACTGATCAAATGCTTTGACACTACAGTATTAGGCTACAGGTAGCTGTACAGACACTACAGTAAAGTAGTGCTGTATTTTTGTGTTCTTGAGCATGCCCAGGGAACTGACATTTATTTTATACACTCAGGGATGTCCTGGAGAGACATCATGCAGTTACCAAATTGCAGAAACTAGAGTAGTACCTTTCTCCAGATACTGTACACCTTCACAACCACAGGCCTCTTAACTGATCGGTCAAAAACCAGATTAACATTGGGCTAACAAATTCATTAGCTTATTGAGTAGTAGAAAACAAAAGCAGTAAGAATCCCAGTGATCAAGATAAAATGCTCTTCCATGTTGAGATGTGATAAACTGCTGTCTGCAAGTTTTACATAGATCTCTACAGAGGCTCACAAGTACCCTTCGCAATTTTGAGGTTCTGCTGCAACCTCTAGTCATGCCATTTCTGCATCACTGCCCTGTCCCAGTTGGTTGTGAAGCATGCAAATTCAGCTCCAAGTCCAAATTTATTCCCTTTCATCATTCCTTCATTCCTCTTTCAGGTATACTGGTTCTGCACCAGAAATCTGAAGAAACCAGGGTCAAACATTTCCATCTTTCATCATCACCTGACAAGCACATGCAGCTCAGTGTTTGGATTCTTACTGTTACTCAAAAGCAGCTGAAAAAGGATACCACAAAAGACTAACCACGGCACAAGAAGAAAGTAGGCAATGTTAGAGATTTGTATTCAAAACACAGAATTCCAACATTTTGAAAGCCAGTAGTCTGAGAAACACACAACAGTACGAGCACAAGAGCTTACACAGGACATATTGAGCCAACAGTAGAAAACGTGCATATATTCTCTCAATTTAGTAGATTGCTGCTGCTCACAGAATGAACAAACTACACCTTTTTTGAAAAGTTGGGTCCCTGCACACAAACACTCCAAATACTCTTCTGTATCTTTCAGTCTGCAGAAAGGAGTTTGGGATGTAGCTTATACAAAAACAAAAAACATGCCATCATACTTACAGGATGTGATACAATACACTGTTTAACATGTTTAAGACCAGCAAACAATTTGCTGGGTAAGAGACAAGAGGTCGAGCTGCTCAAGATAACATTGTCGCCCACAATAAGATCCAACTGACCAAAAATCTTCTTTTTCAGTTCCAGGTTCTCTGGAGTGCATTCCTGGAATGAAAGTAAACATGAATATTAGAAATCATCTAGTTCAGTAGTATGTATCCATATAATCCAGATGCTACTGATCCCACCTTGACACCTAGGAACTCAGCACAAACCATCTAGGTATACCAGTAAGCCATAACACAAAAATACCTTCCCACTGATAAAGAAAGGGAAAGCCCACGAGTTTCTCTACAGCAGAAGATGGACCACCACACACCACAGGAGATATAACACAAAACAAATGATTCTACTTTATCTGAAGTGTAGACATTTACTCACATACAGAGATAACACACTACAGAAGAATAAGACCAGGCCTCCTTCTTATTTTTAAAGAGAATCTCACATGACAGTAGTCAGTGTTCTCTCTCAGACAAGATAGAAATTAAGAGGTGTATCTCAAAAGAAGACAAACTTACAATCTACAGAACTACGGCAGGAGATGCCAAGGTACAGCTCTGGAACCTGCACTGAAACAATTCTCAGAGCTGACATGAATGGAGATACTTAAGCGTTTTAATGTGAGAAAGATTTCTGAAGTAGAATGCATGCTATCAAAACTTCTCCCAAAGCTACCAAGCATGTTCAGCTCTACAGTATTGTGTGAAATTTCACATGTATGAGCCAAGAGCCACAATCTACAGTAACTAGATTTCCAAAATTATTTCCAGGAGCTGCCTGAAGGAGCAAATGCAGAAGTCCACTAATCTGAGAGCAGCAAGGACATGGGAGAGTAACTACAGTGGATCCCACAATCAACAGAAAATACTTCTGTCTGCAAGAGGAAAACAGAAGAACAAAGCCAGCTTGTTTTCTGGGGTTTTTGGAAGGGTTTAAAAAAAATCCAAAATGGATCCCAAAGTTGCAAAACCTCAGCTTTCCCCTTAAAACACAGAAAATACCTGCTCTTTTCAGCTCTAACCTTCTCCCACCTGTCAGTACTTCATTCTGTCTTTCCTGTTATGCTGAAATGCACATGGGTGGTAGGGAAAAAGGCCACATATTTTACATAATCCAAAATTTACATTTAATATCTTCAGCTTCACAGCCTCAGTGGCAGAAATGCCCAGAGCCAGAGTTTTTAATTGAGTGAATGGGTTAAAAGTAATTTGAAGTCTTAAAAAATACGTTTCATGGAACAGTACTAAAGGTTCCATGATGCAGAAGAGATAAACAGGGTCATTTAAGAACTTCAGATAGAGCCCAAAGTATTAGATGGCCTTATCAAAACAAAATGATACTCTGCTCATAGTTCCAGAATCCCTGCTTGTTGGTTAGGTTTAAATAGTTTCTTTTAGCAAAGCCAAAGATGACAAGAACTCTGCAGATACTGTTCAAGCTAATAAAAGAGCTGCTCTGAATAGGTTTGTGAACTTGAAACTCTAAGCCTGCTCTCACATCAGATGATAATCAAAAAGGCAAACTCAAATCTGCTGGAAACTCAAACCTGCCATGGTTACGTAAGGTTTCTGAATGGGCCATTTGCTTGAAGTTTCTTGTATAGTGTCACAATTGTTTTCAGGTTGTTGGACCACTGCAATAAAGTTTCTGTTCTCAAGCATGCAATTATTTTCTCAGAGACACCAATTCCCTAAAGAACAGGGGGAAAATTAAACTCTAAACAATCCATTAAACAGGAACCTCACTTGATGTCAGTTATGGAGCCTGGAGAGGTCTGAAGCTACTCTGTTTACCCTGAGAAAGAAAAGATCAAACAGAGAGCAGGTAAGATACAGTTTTAAAGCTGCCACAGTCTCTCTCAAACAATCAGTGCAAAAAGGTTACAAGCACCTCTACACATTTCAAGTGACACTGTATATTTCTGTGCCCTTTTCTTAGGGAAGATCATACTTCTTGTTTGCAGTGAACCTTTATTCTAAGGCCTGATCACTTAAACAAGGCTGCTACTAATCTGACTTCCAATTTAAACTTTATTAGACATCTCTTAACAGCCTAATCAAAACATGACAATTGCTAATTTTTAAAACCCACTTCATGGAAGAGTTGTACTGAATTAAAGGCCTAAAGGTTAAAGGTAACAGGCATTACACTATTCAAATACAGAGAATTCAGAGAACACATAGCAGCTACTTGACCAGTATATGAACTCTTAAAGAGCTACACAAAGATCAACACATATTAGACTCACTCCCCTAGCTAAACAATAATACCCTGACAAAGGTGATTGAGGTCTAGTTGCACCTAATTAAAAAGTTGCACTCATATGACACAAACCCTGGAATGCTTGTACATGGAAAGCTAGGGAATTTTATCTCTTTAAATCCAGTGTCTCTGTGTTTTTGTATAAGCCTTTCTCACCATGCTATCCACCATCTGTGCTCCACATGCACCCACACTCATCTAAGTGCACAACTTCATTTATCTATATTTAAATGCTGGCATCTACTCGGGTTCTTCCCATCCATTCTCAAATGTGCCAAGGTAGCAACTCACCTGTACTTTCTGGGAAAACACTACCCAAAACACTATCTTGCAAAATACCTTTTCCTTACACTAGCAATAAGAATCGCTGCCAAGCGATTAATTAGTACTGGGAGGCAAAAGAAGCAAAGGATGGCCTCAAGCAAAGCACTGCAATACAGAGGTATGGTCCTAAAATAAGTGGTATTGTCTACACAAACATGGCAATATAAGATGAAAGTCAAATATTTAAACTAGCATGCAGAAGGTCAAACATTAGCAACCACTCAGCAACAAGCAAGTCACTTTCTGTTAGATCATCTGGAGATCTTGTCACAGGGAGCACTTGGGGCCCTCTCAATAGTGAGTATGGAGTCTGATGGTAGTCACCTGCATAAGGAATTGCTGAATAAAGAAGTCTGAGCCACAGTTGCACAATGATGAGTTCCTACCTCCTTACTAGATTCTGGCTGCTGCAAATTCAAAATATAATCAAGAAAGCATTTCTTCCCTGGCAATCTTAATAAGAAGATTTATGATAATATAAATTCCCACAAGTGAAGATTGATCTATCTTGAGCTCTCCTAGACTCCTCTTCATTTCAGGAGTGTATCCCATACCATGGGATTCTTCCAAGCAGATCTTGGCCTGAATAGGCCAAAGTTGTCTACCCTGAAGTCAAGAGCTGTGATCCCAGTTTTTGTCTTGCTTCTCCTCTCAGGATCCTCAACTTCACCATCTCATGGTCTCTATAGGCAAGACTTCCCCCTGACCTTCACATCTCCAACCAGCTCTTCATTGTTTGTAAGTATGAGACCAGCACAACATATCCTCTCTTCTGTTCCTCAATCACCTGTGTTGGGAAGTTACATGAATGCATTCCAGAATCCTCCCGAATTCTTTGTGCTCTCCTGTGCTGTCGCACCAACAGATATTGATGTGGTTGATGCCCCACCATGAAAACATGGGTCTGTGAATGTGAGACTTCTTCCAGTTCTCTGAAGAAGGCCTTTTCTTCCTGATCTACCACAATATCTTGGTGGTGGTCCTGTTAATCCTGACCCATAAGTGCTCAAGCGACTCCCTCAATCTAATCAGGGCAGAGCTCTGTCCATGCTAGATCTCAGCATGGAACAAACACCCTAGGCAGCTGCTCCCCTCCTATCTTCACCTTGCACCACCTAAGCCCCAAAAGCTGCACTTCACTGCCATGCAAGAGCATTCTGTAGCCTTCCTCTAATCATAACTGAGGTAGAAAATTATTTTCAAGAGTTCTGCGACTTCCCTCTTCCCAATAAATTCAATAGGGTTTCAAGTAGTAGGTAAACTGCTTAAAAGTCATAATCAGTCTGATTGCAATAGGATGCTCTTCACCTTCTGCAGCTAAGTGAGGATCTCCAAATGTGCCAGAAGCCCTGCTCTGATCGTCTACTTATACACATATAACTTACAGCTTTTTAAGCAGCCTCAGCTTTTCAGTGCTGTGATTTAGCTGACAATTTCGAGGCACTTCTGTAGATCAGTTCCCAGAGTCAAGTGACAGCAATTCTCTCTTCTCATAGAATGAGGATGTAGCAGCAGTTTTCAAAGCACCGAACTATCTCACAAGCTCGACACAGACTGTCAGCACTCCTGCAACAGGAACCACATAATATCCAGCTTTTTGTAGGAATATAAAGATCTTCACAGGATTAAGAGACAAAGAGTTCTGCATCTCAGAAAAGCAGCTTTTCTGAAAGTTGTGGTGCCAAATACATTTCTACAAATACTTCCATTATCTTCTATAGTTATAATCCACTAGAAAAGAACTTCAGAAAAGACAGGCATAACTGTTTTATTTTCAATTGAATGAATCACTTCAGAATTTATATTTCTAAAACAAAGCCTGATTAACATAAACCTACAAAAACCTGAGACCTGTTTATAGAGACAACCTGAATTTAAGATAGACATTAAAAATACCTGAAGAGGAGACCTACAAATTTAAATAAATGAAATACAGGTTTCAAATCACTATTACTATCTATAGATAGCAACTGTACAGTCAAATACAACTATTCCAAAGAATTTTAACACATCTGAATAATAACAATAACAATAACAATAATAATAACAACATTCTTGTAAAAGCCTAGTTGGAAGAAGTACATATGCTACAATAAGCTCTCTGCAAACTAAACCCTGCAATTTTACAACCAGTTCTGTTTCCCCCAATATCACTGGCAAAGTTGAGGTTACAAGATTGCATTTATTTGCTCCCTCTTGCATACAGACTGCTGTGTTTCTGTCATTACCACCACTTTATTCAATTCACATCAAAGTCAAATTATATTTTAAGCTGAATAGTGTTTAAAGTGCTCACTACTATTTAAGTCCTAATTATTATTATTATTATTTCTATTTAGGCTTTTGTACTGACATGTCTGCTCCTGCAGAGTTTAGGTGTGTATTTCCATTCCATGCACCTTCTATTAAGGAAACTGGAGCTTTTGTTTTCCATGTCAGACACTGAAGTGAACTCTACTCAGCAAACAAGTCACATACACAAACCTGGGGAACTACACCACCTGCAATCAAAAAAT